CAGATTCATTTTCCCCGAGGGAATTTCTCCCGAAGATCTTCGGGGCATATACTACTGTGAGAAAAAAGAAATCTAATAATATTTACTTGATGATATGCTAATAACATATTTGCTCATAATGCTATCGTGTATGAGCTCATGTAAGCTCATACAAAATATTTTTTTTAAGAAAACATATTTTGTCAAAACATTAGCTTTTTACAGAAGAGTAATTGTTTATTCTGTTTAAATAAAACATTAAAAAGTTCAGATTTAAATAAATATATTATTAATATATAACGTAAGGTTTAATTTTGACGAGCGCGAGTCAACGCATTTTGGTTGAAGGACACGGAATTTCCGCAGAGTTCTCATGACTCGTTAGTTTTGAGTATTTGAAATTCCATTTTTTCAACTATGACGCGTTGGTTTATTTACTACAACCAAATTTTTTTCTCCGTGTGGTATTCATTTTAATTAAGAGCACCGTCACTTTATTTTTGTCGATATTCACTTTTTCAGTGAAACTGAAAGAGACAGAGTTATATTATGATGAGAAATGCAATGAGTCGAGGAGGTTCACGAGTGCGCTCGATAATTTAAAGCCCTCACTAGTGCGATTATCTCGCTGTTCGCGAAATAGAGTGTAATTACTAGTTATATATCATTTTCTCGACGAAATAAAAACGTATTCTAATCGCGAACAATGGGTCATACGGTTAAAAAGAGCGCGCACGGTGTGCTGCAGGTCCGTGCGGTCTTTAGTCGATCGCCATCGATCACAAGCCACCGCTCCTCGACTCAAACTCCAAATGAAAACGTCACTCGCGATCGGTGTTTTTTCAGTCTTCGAGTGCGCCCTCGGGAAAATCGCATACCAGCGGAATTCCGCGGCGTCGAATGACAACGGGGCGAAGAGGTGAAAAACGGCGAGCGTTTTCGAGGATCCACAATTAACAGCCACTCGGTATAGCAACAGGGTTGAGAAAGAGAGAGAGAATAGAGAGAGAGAGAGAGAGAGAGAGAGAGAGAGAGAGAGAGAGAGAGCAGTGAATACCCGCAGAACACACTCGATAGCCTCATGAAAGGCCTCGCCGATACGAACGCCGCGATACACGGAGACAATGCGTGTACGCAGCTGACGTCAGGGAGCACATACGGCCGTCTCTCTTTCTCCCTGCCTCTCTATCTTTCTCTCATGCGAGTTACATTTCACCGTATACCCGGTGTGACAAGAATATTAACGCTTCCATGTCGCCCGTCCGCCGGCGATACTCCATTGGCCATTATACCCATCGGTCGGACGATAATAACTGTCCATTAGCCCGACCAGCACGGCGCAATTGGATGAAGTATCGCCGTTAATCAAGTTGCGAAATTTGCGCTAATTGAATCAATGGCGATAAGCTGGTCGCGAAATCTCTGTCAATTTAGAGGATGGACCGGCCACGTCTAATTTCACGCGAGCAGTAACTGGACAGTGAAGTATATTTTTGGGCACACACCTGAGCTGCTTGAATGTGGGAGTTTGTGTGTACAGGGTGTTCGACGCAAAATGTCCCATACCTCGTGTACATGTAAATTAAGTCAAAATTGAACACAAGATTCCTCCACCATTCTGCAAACCTCGTAAAATTTTTGAGTTATTAATTAGAAATAATTGGCGAACGACCACGCGTGATACGGCAGATAAGTTATGACAGCGACACCTGTAGTCATGTGCTTATAGATTAGGTCGAACTGTACAAAAAAGTCCTATACCATTTTGCAAATAACTATGTAGATTTTTTAATAACTAATTAAAGAACATTTATACATTATCGCGCGCGACAACATTCATCAATCTTCTTTAATCAATAACTTAAAATTTTACGTGATTGTTTGCAAGATGACAGAGGAATTTTGTGTTGTTTGACTTAATCTATGTGTATATGAGATAGAGACACTTTACGTCAGATACCTGCATATTAAACTGTATATAGCACAATTCTTTGCAACAATTTGCGTGCACTTTTGCGAATGTTTCAAATATTTATGCATTTTCTAAGACGCAAGGCATTTTACAGCGTGCTAATGTTTCTTAATAGATAAAACTTTTGCAGAAACATTCACTTGATCACTGTGTGACAAATTGAGATGTTTTTTTTTTCCTGAAAACAAGATCGATACTGTCCGAGAATGCGCGACCGTTAAATGATCGATGTCCATTCATCAACACGGCTCGAACACGATGACTCTGTTTTTCGATTTCACCCCTATCATGTAGGGTGGAGAAACATCCCGTATGTGGTTATACGCCCTCGTGTTTTACCTTTCAATATAATACGTCGGGGTGTGGCGGAAAAAAATAGAGCGCACTTCGACTATGAATGCCATTCATCTTCGCGGCGTGACGCTCTCTACGCGGCGCGAACACAGTCGCCGGAAAATTAATGAAATATTTAAAAATTTAATACAATATTTAAAAACATAAACATTAGGTCTCCATAAAACGATCATTACGAAGTCCCTTTATATATATAGAGTTGTCGGGAAATTAATACAATATTTTAAAAGCGAGACATCAAGTCTGATAAATTAATCATTTCATATTAATTAACGAGAATTTTGACATCATCAACAGAAATATGATTTTCCGCGTACATGAAAGTCACGCGCTGGGAAAAGCGGACTGTTATTTTCAGTTTTAATTATTCAGATGCACATTTAAATCGGCGAGCACATATTCGCAAAAAACAGCCTTTTCAGCATAGCGCCCTCAGAAAAAGTGCCATTATGACGCAGGTGTGATACTCTTATTCACTCTCCGCGTACCTCATTAAGCCTATTTCAGAAAAGCCATCGGGGGACAGCTAGAATTCGCCGTGAAAAGGGAGGACGGAGTTTTATACGACGACATGCACACAGCTGATCATCGTTGACATATGTAGGTTAATATACTTTCAGAATTTTTGCCGTTTTAAAATGTCTTCCTTCTCTCTCAATCACATTGAGAAAAAAATATATATAAATGTTTGTTATTTGTAAGTATAATAATATATATAAAAAAATCATTACTATAAATTATAGTCAAGAAAGCATTTTTATAAATTCTAATATAATATTAATGATAATAACTTTATATGTATATTACTACCATTTTTATGTTAAAGAAAATAACTTTCTCTCTCTCTATATATATATTACACACACACACACACACGCGCGCGCGCGCACGCACGCACGCACGCACGCACACGCACATAATCAAATTTATAATAATTATTTCTTTATGTGTGATTATTGTTACAAATATACTAAATATTTTTTCTCAATTTTCTCCATTTCTATAATATTTAGAAAAAAGTAATGCACAGTGACGTAAAAATAAAAAAAGTCATTTACTAAATTATATCAACTGCTATTAAAACACCGAGTCGCAGTGTTTATTAAATTCAATTCAACTTTCAACTATACAAACACGCAAGCCAAACATATTTCCAAGATACGAGTAATTCGCATTTAATTAAAATATTTTATGTAAATTATTATTATTTGTTAAAAGAGGCAGGTTTCACTCGCGCCTCATTTAGAACACCAAATGGGCCTGAATCCGCCACTGCATTAGCGGATTGGCGCATTAGGTGCTCGCGCAATCACTCAACGCTGCCAAGGGGTTAATGAATGCGAAGTACACATTAGTCGACGTTGGTAAATTTGGTCGACTCCGCACCCTCCCGAAAACCATGGTCGGGGACGACGCGACCCACGCTGCTGCGCTTCCAGCGATCGACGTGTGTTCAGCCCGGCCCACTTCGTTCGCAACGCGCAGCCCGCGAAGCTTTTCCTGCCACAGTTTAATCACGAAGAGTGAAAAACACGGCAGCAGCTAGCTGGAAAATGAACTACCGCAGCGGAAGCGTAATTAGATTCCGCCCCGACGTAGGTGAAGCGCGCTAATAACACTAATTGTACCGGCCGACCGGTGCTTCATTAATTAAGAGGATTGCTCGGCCGGCCGATGTAACAACGAAGATGCGGGTATTTCAGATATCCGCCCCAATACGTGGAAATATCGTCGAATAATCGCCGATATAAATACATGAATATCGACAACCTGACCTTATTTTCAGCTCGAAAGCTCGTAATTTCGCGCCGATATCGTTAGAATAATTTTATCGTGGTCGAATTAAGCTCACGATTATATCGAGTTTTTGGCTCTTTCCAAATATCAATGCGCTATTCAAATTCCCTCAAAACAGACTTTTCGCGCGAAAATTTCTTCGAAATGCATTTTCCTTAAGATTCTTGGCTAGCAGCCGCGGAACCCTTGATTGATGGTGTCAGAAGCGAGAAAATACACGCTCAAAATTTCTGTAAAATGCGTTAAAACAAAACAAAAAGATATGCCCATCAAATGATTACAATCGATCATAAATTTCACGGTAATTTAATAATTGTTAACCCCGTATCAGACTACCGACTCTCAATGGACCAATCACAGTGAGGCGCCGAGTCAGCGCCTCATTGTGATTGGTCCATTGAGAGTCGGCAGTCGGGTCGGCCGGTGCAGTCGGTAGTCTGATACGGGCTTAAGGTTAAGACTATTTTGTAGATCGATTGCAAGTGATACTTCGTGAACATATCTTTTTTTTTAAACGTATTTTGAAATGTATATTTTGCAGAAATTATGAGCGTATTTTTTTGCTTCTAACGTTATAAATCAAGATCGCCACTGCATGGTTAACAACTTCTTGTTTTACTTCAAAATCCCTGAATAGAAAATTTCAAGAATTGTTTCATGTTTCAAGAAGAGAGTTATATTCCCTAGCAAAATTCAATTAGCTCTTCGAATTGACTGTAGAGTTTCAATGCATAGAATAGTGTTGAAGAATCAATATGGCCTCTCTGTGTGGATTAATAGCCAAAACAAATAGCAGCACATGGGAGTTGGGATTATCGTTGGGGAAGGGGAAATAATGAAAGCACGAGGATGCGCCAGAACGCGTCTCTCGCTCGCTCCGAATTTCTTTGTCAGAGTGTTACTGAAAAAATACCATCGTTTATTCTCTATTGATAAAATTATAATCCTTACGCCTAAGCACGTGCAAATCGAGCGACGACAAGCTCTTAGCCGAGGTAGGCATCGTCGCTGGAGCCCTCGGGAGTGCAGTTCTGCAGCAACGACGCCGGATTCGACATGTCGCTGATGACGTCGCCGCCGACGCCGTTGCCGCCGTTGCCGGTCCGCGGTGGTTTCACATCTTGACCCTGCGAGGACATGTCGTAAACACGACCCGTGGTCTGCTGATTCTGCGAGTTGATTTCATTGTAGACCAGCTCCTGGATCTTAAGCCGGACGAACATCTGCCTATCGAGCGGTAGGCTCCTAAGAGGGTTTCTCACGCTCATAAGGAAATGGTAGGTGTCGTCCTCATCCTCGGATCCCATCGCCAGTCTCTTCTGCAGGGACTCGTACCGCTTCCGCTCGACCTCGACTGCATAATCGTTGTCGATCGCGTCCATGAGCGCGCGCTTCCGGCCGATCATCTTGTTCATCTTCGGCGGCGGCATCACATGATGCAAGCCGTCGTCATTGGACAACAATGACTGGCACGAGTCTCCGTCCAAGTCGTCGAACTGCGTTTCCTCGTGACCCTCGAGAATATCGATCTGCGGCTCGATTTGCGTGCCGTCCGGCGACGAACGCATGTTGATCGCGCCCACGCAGTTCTGCGACAAAGCGCAGCCAATCACCCTGGAGTTCATTTGGTCCCGCAGGAAGAACAGGCTCTTGAACCAGACCCACTTGGAGTCGTGCTCGGTGCCGCCGATGCTGTCGCATTTGCCCCGATACGTCTTCTTCAGCTCGTTCCGGAAGTTGTCGCGCAGGTGTTTCCACTTCGACTTGGCGACGTCCGCTGGAACATACAGAGCGACCGCCACGTTTACAGCATGCATGCCCTTCACGTTGCAGGACGTTGCCACGTTGCGCATCCGCGGAATGTTCCAGAAAGCTTTGGAAACTGTAGGATTCTGCGCGAAGTGATCCGTCCTTCCTCAAAATTTTGCCTAACGATTTCGACAGCTCTTCCCTAATTTCTCTGTGATAACTTGTCTCATGATCTGAGAAGTTCCGTCAAAAATCAAAATTTTGTGTTAAGGCCCCCTGCATTGTCTATTTCTTTTTTATTACATCAGAAGCGAGAAAATGCATGCTAAAAATTTTCGCGAAATACGTTGAAATAAAAATATATATCCATAAAGTAACACTTGCAATCGATTAAACAAATTTGTAAGATATTCCGTGCACTCCCATTTTGCTCTAACAATCAATAATTTGTCGTAAATTAACATGACATACAATTCATCTTCTTAACCTATTTCTTCGCCTATTTCTATTCAGATTAATTTACAATAAATTATTGATTGTTAGAAAAAAAGTGCACGGAATATCTTACAAATTTGTTTAATCGATTGCAAATGTTACTTTATGGATATATATTTTTATTTATATGCAAATGTTACTTTATGGATATATATTTTTATTTGTATTTCGCAAGAATTTTTAGCATGCATTTTCTCGCTTCTGACATCATTAAAAAGAGATAAACATGCGAGGGGCCAGGAGCCTTAAGTGCAAGAATATAATTTCTCCGTGATAATTTAGACCATTGCTAACTTAGAAAAATCGAAGAAAGAAACTAAGAATCTCTTCTTGATGACCAGCATCAGTAACTAAGGGGGATCATTGGGTTACTTTAGCTTTATCCTACGAATCAGAATCTACCGTTTCCAATTTGCTATGCAAAACGACCGTGTGTGTAAACGCGAGATTGCATGGTCGGTAGCGCGTCTCCGTTCTCATCGAGTAAGTGTTAGCGTGCAATTATCGCTACATCGCATCTACTCTGCATCACGATAACCCTAGCTAAGCGAGCACGTGCTATCGCGAGCACGTGCTTACGAGGAAAAAGAAAGGAAAAATCCAGATTGAACGTGTACGGCTGTATCGACGTGCGACCTGGTGGCGATTCGCATGAACTAGCAGCCTATCTCTCCGGTCGGCTTCTCCTTTCACGAGCTATCGACCTTCCAGCTGGCGAGCGGTTCCAGCGAGCAGTTCGGTCCGCTAGTTGGCCGCAAGACCCGTTCGATTCCTCGTCGTCTTTACCGACGTCGCTCTCCGTCTCGCTCACCTCCACGCTCTCTTTCTCGCTCTCTCGGCCAGATGGACCTCGGCTGACGAAATCCACGCTGCTGGACGAGATATCTCGAAAGAAAGAGAGAGAAGGAGGAGGAGGGAGAGAGAAAGAGAAAGAGAGAGAGAGAGAGAGAGAGAGAGAGAGAGAGAGAGAGAGAGAGAGAGAGAGAGAGAGAGAGAGAGAGAGAGAGAGAGAGAGAGAGAGAGAGAGAGAGAGAGAGAGAGCAACCTCGAGGTCGCAGAGCTCGACGAGTACAACGTACGGGCCTTGGCGACCAATCGACTCGTGCAACGCGCATCCCACCCACCCATCGGACGACCAACCAACCGAGCAAGTAAGCACCCACCACCCACACGTGCACGCGCACGCGACATACACATAGAGAAAATGAAGAATCGACACGACGCGCGCGGCGCAGGAGAGTGTCGTCGTCCGCCGTCAGCAGCCGACTATACTCACTCGACACCTCACAGGCCCTCGCGATCTCCCGCCACATCTTCAGTATGACATCGCGATTGTGGTAGTTGACGTTCTTCTGGTCCCAGATCGCGGGTCTCGCGTGCACCTCGTTGATCAGCCTCTGAAGGTCCATCGTCATCGCGCTCCTACGGCCGCCGGCGACGTTGCATCGCCGAGGCGAGCGTTTGCCGGCGCGTCGGTTGACAAGCGTGACGCCGGCGGTGCCGACGGAGGAGGCGGCCGCACGCGCGCCGCTTCCTCCGACGCGTAGCTGGATTTCCCCGCTGGTGTTCTGCTCGACGAGGAGGCGGCTCCTCGGTTTATCGACCCGCGCCGAGTCTGTCCCCGCGGTGGCGGTGGCTGCGTCGGCGGTGGCGGCGGCGGCGACGGCGGCGGCGGTGGTGGCGGCGTCAGCGTCAGGCTCGAGGACGACGACGGCGGAGGTGGCGGTGGAGGTGGCGGCGGCGGTTGCGGCAGCGGTGGTTTCGGCTACAGCTACGTTATTACTCGGCGTGTTAGCGTTGCTGCGGGAGGCGACCGCGACGGCGACGCCGGTCGCGTCGTCGTTGCTCGTAACGAGCCGCTGACGCCTTCTCTTCTTCCTCTTGCGTCTCGCGACGCGGCAGGTGGCGGCGGTGGTCGAAGAGGAGGTGGTGGTGGTGGTGGCGGCAGCAGTGACGGCAGCGGCGGCAGCGGCGGTGCTCGCGAAGCCGAGCCGAGCAGAAGAGCGTAAGCGGGACGAATCCAGGGCTATATCCTCGTCGGCTCGTGCGCGCGTGTCGTCCATGCACGCGCGCGGGCCAGTCGGAAAGACGCGGCGCACACGCGCGAGAGAATTAAGCGGCTAACGATGTTGCTGCGGTGAGATCACGACGACGCTGCTCTGACGGCGACGGCGACGACTGTTGCGACGATGACGAAAACGACGATGACGACGACAATAACGACAGCAGCAGCAGCAGCTCGTGCCCGACTCGAGAGAGCAGAGCACGAGAAGAGGATCGAGCGAGCGAGTACAGGCGAGCACGACGCGCACGCACGCACACACGCTCTGACGATGTGGTGCTACTCGCGCGCGTCGCGGCCACCGCGGGGCCTTCGGCTTGGCTCGACCCCGGTACTCGGCACCGCTCGGTTCCGCTCGGCGCGGCTCGACCCGACTCGACTCGACCAGCGCCGCGACTCCGCGCGAGCGATTCCGCGCCGCGCGGATGATGATGACGACGACGACGACGACGACGAAGCACCGCACCGCGTGCGTGAGAGAGAGAGAGAGAAGGCGCGAGAGAAGGGGGCAGGTGGAGAGGAATGGACTGATGCCGAGCGAGTAAACCACCACCGGCGAGCGCGGTGAGCGTGCAGGGGCGGAGGTACGCGCGAAACGTCCCGGAGGTACGCGCGCGCGCGAGTCCTCTTCGAGGTGCGCGCGGAATCCCTCAGCGAGGTATACGCCGTCGTTGCGGATGGAATAAACGAGCGCGCTATCTGCCGCGGAATTGAAGGGCAAGAGTCGCTGGAAGGCCGAGCGATTTGGCTGGCGAAAGTGGCACGAAACTACTTTGGTCGGGTACAATTAATTGTACGAGTAGAGTATCGATAACCGATGGAAATTGCCAATCGCCGTGTGTCCATCAGCCCCTAACGGCGAGGCTATTTTCTCTAAGCGGCTTTACAACTTCCGTGGAAACCCCACGCGAAAAAAGATGATCTCGTGCAGAGCTCACTTGTCCACTTGACAATAAAGCCCGATTATTCCTCAGAAGAGCAAAGAGTTTTGTCTTATCTTTATTTCCATCATTCGTCTCCCGACGTCTCCGACGAGTCTCGTCAGAGCATCTTCTGGGTCTCGAGTATAAAGACGGAACTAAGTACGAGTATTAAGTCTAAAGTAGCCGCGAACTTCATTATGACTCCCCAAGTTTACGTACGAACGACCAGTCTACGAGTGTACTATCTGCTCCGACATTTGTCGCCGACCAGAGATATTTTAGAGAGGGCATCAAGCAAGACTGGAAAATGTTGAGATCTCGAGGAAATGTCGAGATCAGTTATTATTACGAAGGTTCTATCATGAAACAGTTGAGGCGAGCGCTAAGAGGAAGTGCGCAGAAAGACGAAACGTGCATTGCAAACGAGAAAACCATAAGGTTTCGACCCTGCATGAGATCCTTTTTTCAGAAAATGTCCCAGGCTCCGGAAAATATTGCGCACGCGGACCGGAGGCGCAGCCCTCGAGGTTCGTCCGAGCCGAGCTTGAAAATGGATGCGCCTTGGTGTCTGCCACGCGTCCGCTACTGTATGGGCGTGCAGCTGCAGTCGCGTCACCCGCTGCGAACCGGCGCATCCGCTCTGCTCGGCTTTATCGCGGCTCCGCGTCGCGTCGCGTCGCTCCGCGCCGCGGCGAAACGGGCGCGCTCGTCCGCTCGTTAGCGTGACTCCGCTCGGCTCTGCTCGACCTGGCTCGGCTTCATTCGGTCAGGTTCGACCTCGACATGGGCCGCCGCGGCGATCAGCGCGACGTCCAGCATCGAGTCTGTAATTCGGCTGGAATCTCTCGACTGTGATTTCAGCCCAGGCTGCGAAGAGGAAAATCGACACGACCAGACTGTCGAAATGAAAGAGAGAGGCAGAGAGAAAGAGAGAGGACGCTGCCTCCCAAAGCGTTCATGTCCTTTCCCCGATAGAAACTGAGGTCAGAGTTCGGGCAATTGGATAATTCAACGATGCTTCCGTGGACGGTACGAGCGCGAACGCCAGAGCGATCGACGTCCTATTTTAGGGGCGACATGCCAAACGACTGTTTAAATGTCGCGAATTACCGCGATTGACGTCCCCGAGTTGTTGTTGTTAAGCGCCCGACGCTACGGAGAGATTTCGGATTGCCCGATTAAACTGTCATGTCCCGCAGTACAAATGACCCGACGCCGCGCGTCCCGCAGTATTACGCGCATACAACATCTGTATAAATAATCGACATGAAACTTTGTTTTCATTAATAAGCGCGCGCGCGCGCGCGCGTCTGACTTTGCGAAGTCGAGACGACGAACACCACGCCGCTCTTCCTACCGTTCCCACTAGGCACAACCTTGCCCCACACGATCTCCGCTTTATGATTCGCATTTCTATTAATAGTCGCCTGAATCGGCGAAGTATATCCAAGGATCTACCGAAGTAAAGGACTCGTGTAGTCGCGCATCTCCGAAAGCGGTCTGCAGGCGAAGATTTATGGACTACTCGGACCACTCGGTACTTAAAGCGTCGGGTCGTGAAAGAAACGCATGGACTTCCGCATGTGCGAAATCAAGATAACACGTGATTTTCCGTATTTTACCTCGCATTTATGAGTAATCCGCAAAATCGTTACAGCTTTTTGATCTTCAGGTTTACGAAATACTTCAGGTTTATGGAATACTCACGAGTGAGCACAAAAAGTCAATTGAAAATCAGTAATATTCGTCGACTAAATAATAATACAGAATCAATAAGAGTCACGGCCCCTCAGGATTATTCGAATCTGTCAATTATTTGTCCAAAATGCATCTGGGAAATGCCGTTTCGTTTCGAAAACACAACTTCAAGGAAAATTCCGTGACGTGTGAGCGTTCGCGTAACGTGATGCGCGGAATGAGTCTCGCTTTAAAGAACAGACAAGATTTCCGCGTGATACGGCGACATTTGCAACGTATGAGAGATCAATTTTATCGATGCCTGTCGCCATATTAGAGAAGTGTCGATTCGGAGGAAATTAATTTTCTGAAACCTGGTTTCTCTCTTTCTCTCTTTCCCTCTCAGTATCGGCATTTTCACGGAAAACTCGTCGCGTCGCGTGCAATTTGACTGCGTCGCTTATCTTCGTCGTATAATACCACGGTCTCGCCTGAGCTTTATCTCCGTTTTGTCGCATCTCCCGCGTTTCCACATGCACGCGGTCATAAGCGCTACTAATCAGTGCTCAAATCACTTGAAGTAATCTGCCGGCGTGTCTCATATCAGTTTCTGCCTAGTCGGCAAACACAAAGAGACCGTAGGAAAGGAGAAAATCCCGACTAGTTACGTCCGCCCCTGTCCCCGCATGCGGAAACGTTTCGGATTAATAATGTCGCTGCGGCGTACCCGCGCTGATGCGGGCTCTAAAAGCTGAGCCAGGGTTATGCAGACACCAGCATGATTTCAAGATGAAGTTACACCTCCCCAAAGAACACGCGCCACCGCGAAACTTTCAGTTTATATTTCCCGAACTTGCAGTTTTCGAACTTTCGCGAAATCACAGAAATGTGAAACTTCTAAGTTTTGAGACTGCAAGATCAATTGCTCGCTAAAGCTCACCATATCAAATCTCGCGGTTTTATTCTCATATTAATCTCCCATGTATAATCATGTTTCTTGGGACTGCAATAAAATCAAAATACATCAAAATCTGCAAACAGACTTGCACTGTTTCGAAAATTTCCGGGTCCTTCGCGAAAGTTGGCGAACAATTTGATATCCGTTTGGATCCCACAGATTCACCATTAGATACAGAAGAAGGTTAACAGTCTAATCGACAAGCTGATAACATTTTGCCGATATATGTCGCTTCTCGCGATCTGTCTGTCATATCTGTAATTAACATGTCTGTCATGTCCGTAATTAACGGTCGGATATTAGGGGGAAATCGAATGCAGTGTGAGTAAGTAAATTTCGAAGTACTCACGGTAAATCCGCGAGCACAGACGCGACGAACCTCAGCTTCACCGAAACGCGTAATCAGCGATATCCGCGCACGACGCAGTAATCGGCAATGCGGTTCGTAATCCTTTAGCATGCAGGTATCGCGATCAATAGTAAGCAACGGCGATGGATACTAGATATACGCAAAGACGAACAGTAGAGGCTTGTTCAATCCGCTATATATTGAGTATCTGATCCACAGTATATGAAGCATAATCCGGATAGGTATGCCCCGGCATTATCACGGATAATGCAGCCGCGTGTCTGTCACGAACCGCGCGCGATTCGTCCCGTCGAGAGAAACACTAAGACGTTACGGACCGCCTTGAGTTTCTGCAAGACAGTCCATGGAGAAACATGGCGAGCCTCTTGATATACACGTCGCATTTACGTAAGAGTCTACATCGTTCACGTACGCTATGCGTGCGTCAAGGAAGTTTGAATAAGGGAAGTTGGAAAGACTTCCATGGGGTGATACTGCGTGCAATTTTGCAAATCGTCTGAATATGTAATTGTCAGACGAGGCTAAAGCTCCAGGAACGAGCTTTTTCGTCAAACAAAAGGCGCTTTCCAATTCGTAATGCGGGCGCTGTGCAAATTTGCACTTGCACTCGGGTATCGTTGCCGCGATGCGAGCGCACGCTGATTAAATATGTTGCACGTACGTTAATTAAACTTATACAGATAAACAGCGACCTTTGTGTTTGGCTACACCTGGTAACAGGCAACCACGGTCGCACACGCGTACTACGTGTAATACTCGCTGGGGAAAAGCGCGCTATATCATTAGTCCCAGCTCCCGGTATTAAACCAATTCCCGTAATCGATGGAGTACACGCAGGTGAAGCAACAACGTCAAGTTGTAATATCCGTGAAAATTAATTCGCCACTCGAGATATCGCCACCAGTCGCACTGTTACGCGTCTCTCTTCTTCTAATCGCGTGTAATATAACATTTAGCTCAATATCATCTCAGTGTTTGTATAACTTTGATTGTATTCCAAAACGCCCTTTTTGAGGAAAATTTTACTGAAAATCTAGTCTGTAGTTTGCGTTACATATTCTACGGATTTCCAATAAAATTCTCTTCAAAAAGGACGTTTTGAAATTGCAACAACACTTTTTTTGCTTGAATTATTTCAACTATGCATTATTTCTAGATATGTTCAGGAAAAAATAATTATATATAAATTTTGTCTCTATATGGCAATATATAATCGTATGTAACTATATATGCTCATACTGAGAAAAATGCTGTTGTACAAATATAATCGAAATGAACTTATATTTCTAGCGGGTCCTGATCTCGATGTTTAGATAAAATTATTTCTTTTCTTCATTCAACAGTATTCCTTTTTCCTATAGACATATCATATATATCATTATATATGATTATATATGTGACCATAAAGGGACAAAATTTATATGTTATTTTATACAATAGTTTTGAGTTTGTATATATACTTTTGAAATATTTGCGTATAATTATGTGTGCTATCGCGTTTGCTCAAGTTGCTATCTTGCTTATCTTCTTTACTTTCTTTAATGTTCGTAACTAGTGCAATTTTAAAACATTGTCAATTGCGGACGGACCATTTGAGAAGAATTGTTGAAACTAATGTTTATACTATTCTGTAAATTCTAAGGAGTTGCCGAGAAAAAGGGGAAGACCCCAGGATTATAACAATAAACTTCAACTCTGTCAAAGTTGGGAAAACGAAAACGACTTCCCTTTGCGGGAATTCGGGCCGGCGAATCGGAAGGGACACGATGAGAATAATGTCAGACTTGGAACGTAATGGAGGAAAATGAAGTACGCGGGATATTAGTGCCTGTATTAGCGGCTTGCATCGGGCCGGCATTATCGATCACCTCGTGCGCTCGCAATGTTGTGTGTATAAGCAGGATTACCATGCGCGCTCCTCGCGATATCCCCAGAGACCGTCCCGTGGATTTTCATGGAGCCATCTCTATGCAGATTGTACTATCGTCGTTTGCGACCGATACGACGCCAAGATGCGATCTGAGAGCGCCGGGGGGAGGGAAGAAGAGGCTGGGAGAGCCGGGCAAGTTTAATAAGATTAAGCGGGAGGAGTATGTGCGAAGTTACGGCTCGACAATGTTGTAAGTTATGCATATTGATCGTCACTTTAGATGGGGTTGCCTCAACATGGCCTATCGAAACTACCCACAGACAGTTCATGGCGTCGCTTATGAATACGTAGCATTCGTGTATGCCGTGCACGAATCGCGAGATCTCTCTTCCTCTCTCTCTCTATCTGTCTATGAGAAAATGTTTTTCCTCCAATGTAACTCGGTGTAAAAACGCGTTTCGCATTTATCTGAATTGCGCTGTTAATTATGTTATTTATAGAAACGAGCTTCCTGGAAATAGGAATAGAGATGCAGGAGATGCGATGCCTATCAGACATTTAAGCTTGTGTATCTTAGATTACAGTAAACTAAGTGTATATTGTTTGGAAGCACTTTTCACCTTATCATGAGTTGGTGATTGTGTTCCGACTTCGGTAGTGTTGAACAATCAAGATAAGAGTAAGTAACATTGTGTTGAATAAGAATAATACCTATGTTCTCGAAAGCTTACATGCTTTATTCAGTTGCTTGTCCAACACAAGTTGATTCATTATACATATTTTTTAATTTTAGTTAAATTAATAATCTAGCTGCCATAGACTGATAAAATTAGGCTGTACACTTTTAGAAACTTAACTTTGCGAGAAGTATGGCAATTTTTTAATTGTCATACTTTAATCATGAAATACATGCGATTATCTTAGTAATATCCACTAAATATTGGCATTTGTATTAAAAAATTATGAGCAACATTTGGTAATGACTTTTCTTCGAATTGTGACATATGGAATAATGAGCACCCGGCGAAACTGCGAAGATTAATCGACTCATAAGTCTAAAGTATTGATCTTGATGTCAAATGTATCAATATCCTTAATATTCATATTCGGTTCCGCTTTGTTGGGGTGCGGTATCAATCCGTTGATTTCGTCTAATTTAGCTCTGACAACTATCATGGTATGTTCCTCGATGTATGCCAGCACGAATTTCTTGAAAACCGTCGTGACTACTTTAGTCGCCACGTTTAATATGGGATCCAGAAGATGACCCTCGAATTTGATGTCATATTTCCTGCAAAAATATAAAATTTAACGAGGAAACTACAATAAAATCTGCGACAGCTCGTGGCACTCTTGTAAGTCGTAATTATAAATTTGCACACTGAACCCGTCAATTAAATCTGCACGTTGAGATTGTTGGCTACGTATTTTCAGTTAATACCACGTTGTTGCGCGCCACGAGTAAAAGTGAAACGCCTCAGTCGCGAAGTTAACGAACGCAAAACTGGAAAATCAGGAAGGTGCACTTTGTAACAGGCACAGTAGATAAAATCTGACACGATTTTTCTACACAGAGATTATCTCGCCGGCTTACGACGATTAGCTCGTAGTTATCGGTTTATAATTACAGATATCGGCTTGCGCGCGATTGTTATCGAGGAACTTTGCTATCGTAAATTTGCGCAACTTCACGAATTTATTCTCGTAACGAAAACAATTTGTTGCGCACGTTATCGCCCGTCGAACGTCAATAGAATATAATATGCAATATCGGGAACTGATAAATAATGCCCGACACTCTCGGCACTATCTTACACGATTGCGTCGAACCTCGCGTTGGAAAGTGCCATGCGTCTTTATTCACACACATTCCGGTGCGCAAAGCGCGTAAAACACAATGAAACGATATTTCAACTAAAGTGGAAGAAATAAGATCTCCAAGAACCATTCGCGGTTGTCCACTGCAAATTGAAATTTATACTATGAAAGAATAATAATGCTTAACAGTATCTAACACACGTGACCGAATTTTCCTAGATTTCTGTCGTGTGCACGAATCAGCCTTCCATGTGAAATCGACCCTTTATCCCGACTATTATTAATACTGTTAATACTTATTCCCCATCCCAGTTAACAACTGTGCATTTTTTTATTCGTTTTGAATGTTGAAAATACCGCCTCGGCCAGGAGACTAAACGATATTTACCCAACTTCAGTGAACTTGATGGAGTCGAGAGAAATGTGATAGTCATTCAGATCAATCGTCACCAGAACCTTAGTCTTGAGGTTGTAGAAACGGCCGTACAAATCGCCGCTTCTCTCAAATAACAAGTACTTTATATGGTACGCGTAGTTGAACTGTGAAAATTATAACCAGAAGTTAAAACACGCTTATTGGTCCCGCGAATTATTGCATCTATACACCACACGTGCCGCATTCCATCGATACATAACGCGATTAACGTCTCTGTCTTGTTCTTACGTCCATAACATCAAATCCCAGGTCCATGTCCAAGACTAATATCTTGTCGGAGTACTTTGCGATCACGTGGCCGGCGCGTTTTATTTTCGATAGATTCTGCACCCAGCCTTGCTTGAGATCAACTTGTCCCTTGAAAATCCCAGGCTAAGAAACAAAGTCCGAAATAAAGATATGCATGTCTCACTTGTTGCTATGATACCGAGGTAAAGCTTTCGACCACCTATGATATTTGAAGAAAATTCACGAGAAAATAGACAACCATATCATACCATATCCGGTAGAAGAGGTTCAGACATATCGATGACATCCATAGGGTCCAATCCATTCTTCAAGATGAACGCCCGCAAGTGCGACACTTGACGATCAAATTGCTCATCCAAGACTACAGAATACTCTAGTGGTTGAATGACGGGACTGCGTAACACACAGAAGTGCGCATCTTTTCAACGTGTCGTTCACGAGTCACTTGAGCGAAACCGAATCATAGAATACAATTTCGACTTGCGTGCGTAAATTGCAAATTGTCACTATCTGCGACACTAATGACGCGTCAAAGTTCTCCAAATATCGTTATGACGTTAATTGAGACACTAATTGCGTCCGAGACGCAGAGATTTAATTGAAATGTAGGATCGGTCAAACGAGAATCAGATCGCTGAAATGATGTAAAATCGCGACTATTGAAGGATTACGCCGAGTAACTGCCTGGCAATGTTTTGATTGATGAGGGTGACACAGCTTTATCCGAGTACACGGATGTTACGAAATATTTTGCTTGAACGTTTCTATGCAGTTCGAAGATCTTGCTTATTAATTATCAGAACGCATAAACTTACGGGCTTTGTTCGCCTAGGGATGCGGCATCGCTGTGTACAAACACAGCAAATACCAATAAGAAAGCCAATTGCACTTGACCGGCCATGTTTGCACTGACAATGAAGTGAAACTACGATCAATCCTGCGGTCTCCTCAATTTTTATTACCTATCAGATTACACCTTATCGGTGAATTTTGTTCGATAACGCATTACTGATAACAAAAGCGACAATTCTATCGGGAGACGAAAGATAACGTAAAAAACAAATTCCTATCTATAATTGATTAATTCTATGACCGAATGATTTAATTTGTCAACACGGTGTGCCTCCTTGCGAGAATGCTGGCGACGTTAAGGAATCGTGATACACCGAGGAAGGAAATATATTAACTTGTTGCATAATTTCCGTCGTATTTTTTGGGTAAAGTTAAAACTGATACAATTCTGAAAACAAAATTTAATTCACATCATATTGGTTATTACCTACAACTTATATAAGAAGTATACAATCAAACTAGCAGCGCAGTTGAAAAACAAATTTAATATTAATTTATTATACGTCGAAGATAAGCGCGCCAAAAATACGACAGAGAAATTGCGCGACAACCTAATATTTATCATTTCTTTAGTCGGTACAAAAGTGTATTTGACTTTCGATAGAAGCCATTCATGTATATACCAATACAAATAATAATGCTGATAATGTTCCAGAATGATGACGAATGAGTGAAGTCTAAGGCGACTATTTAGTTAATGAATAACTCACTTCCATTGACTGTAAAATCAAAGTTAAATTTGACTGATAAAAGACCAACCGACCTTTGGACCGACCCAACATATATTTACGAAGTAGAAGAGTTTAATATGTGTAGTCACATTTCAACAGTGTATTATATTTATAATATATGATTCAAGATTAGCCTCTCAAAAAACAAGTAACACCTGCGAAATAATCACGCAACAAAAGAATGTAGCGCGATAGCGCTCGTTCAAGATCTTCCGATATGAAACCAGAGAAAAGCGATTAGCACAGGTTTAACATTTTTTTAATATATATAACAAAGAAACACGATCTTCTCTTGTTGGCACTCAAACGACCAAGAGATCGACGTCGGTACAATGTTCGTTCGAATCAATTGTCCAGTTCGAGTTTCAATAGCATATCCTGGAAGAATTTGACTACTACTTCGGGGGGCACATAACGATTTACTCCGTCCAGGTATTTTTGAATTGCTTCCGCCACGTCTGTCTCAATGGATCTCGTGATGTTGCCCTTATTCAATGTGGCCACGACTTCGGCAATGAACGAGATTACCCAATACTTCCAACCGCTGTGATTTTGAACAACCACGTTTCCGATGCTGCAATAATAGAGGAATTAAGTCTCCGAGCTTACAGAGAAAACGTCATTGAGATGCAAGACGATACTTCGCTAAAAATTATTGGAAATTACTTGAGAGTTTCCAACTGGAGCTTTTCGAGAGCCAAACTGTAATCCATTGTATTGAAGGTGATGATAGTACTAATATGCACTGCTTTGGCATCAGCCGTAATCTGTCCTCTCGGATGGAGAATGCGCAGTTCCAGATCGTAATCGTACGCTATCTAAATGCGGGAGAAGAAATTAATTGCGCGACAGAGTATCACGATATAGCGCGTAATAATAGGTATCTTATTCGCTACTTTATCGCTTTGTCGAGAAGATCAAGATTGAGAGTGAAAAGTTTTATCTGTAATTACCATCAGCATTTGGAATTCGACGTCCAGCGCCAGCTCTATTATCCTGTTTTCGTACGTTAAGGTAGCCTTGTTGAATTTCAGTTTGGATAAACCTCTCAATTTTCCTGAATCCAGCACGAAGTGGGCTTTGTACGAGATAATTGGGATTCCCGGAAAAGGCTAGTGCAACATTAATAACAGTTCTAAATTAGTTGCGTTTTCAGCAGCGAAGCCGCTTTGCAACTGCAACTGTAAAATTTGTGAATTCGATTGATGTATGCCCCTAGATTCAATCAAGAGCATACACCAGAGAATCACAGAGATTCACGAAATTTATAACAGTTGCAAAGCAACTTTACTGGACGCAGCTAATAGGTACTGCGGAAGTTGAGTGAATTAAGAGTCAATTAACTTACCGTTTCTGTAACCAATTAAGTCCTACTAACGCGAATAATAGAGAAAATCTCGAAGGATAAATCTCGCTTGCAGTCGAATGCGTTTTGTTAAATTTGACGAGTATTTTGACGAGTTTTCTCAAGCAAACAATGTTGAGACATTTTAAGACGGTTTAATTATTATTACATTATTATTATGTACTTAAATTCACGAGGAAAAAATTCCCCTTTTAGTACAATTTATATTTTACAATATACAATCATATGCAGTCGTATAATGTAACTACAAAAAATGAGTAATTTAAACTACGAAAGGCATATAATTGAGAATCAAAAAGAAGTTTAATTATTTTATGTCTAATTGCTTCTTCGACGGGACACACATGCAATCGTGTTTGTGCAAATTTAAACATCTTTCGCTCTACTATCTCAAGTCACTTAAGAAGACTCATCGTGAAACTTCATGAACTTCTGCGCCGTAATTATTTCTCTGCTATCATTACGATCATTATAATCTCATTGTCTTAATTGTATCATATTAATTGAGACAATTAGTTTTAATCGTATTTCGTGCAGCATATACATACACAGAAAGAACGATTTATTGAATCAAATAAATGTTTCTTTGGAATAGTCCAAACAAATTATTTGATTGACACAACAAAAATATTTCTTTGGAAGCCGCAAGTAAATATTTGTGTTGCGTCAAACAAAATTTCGTTCGATCAATCAAAAAATTCGTTTGGACTATTCCAAAAAAGTGTTTATTTGATTCAACCAAATTCGTTCTCTCTAGATATATGCGTGAAATACGAAAATACAAATTGGAAAATAATACGAGGATGTCGCGTGTTATCGATTGTTACATAGTACGCGAAGAGAAAGGTTCTTATCGAGGACAAGCGAATCAAGTCGTGATTGTCATTGGTCGAAATGTAAAGGATCTTGCGGCCGCTTATCGCACGCAAAACAACGATGCATATTTTATCTGAAATGCTTTCTCAAACACTCATCGCTTATTTGCGCGATGCAAAGATTAAAAATGACTTCGCGCGCATTTAAAAGAAAACAAGTAGTAATTCCAATCGTCGTCAAAGAAGTAAAGTACAACTGGGAATACCGTTGATACAACGAGAAAATGGTCTTATAATATTAGGAAAACACAAAGGGATACTGCGATTAGCTGTCTCTCTCTCTCTCTCTCTCTCTCTCTCTCTCTCTCTCTCTCTCTCTCTCTC